GGGAAGGACAGATCGCCAACGTGTCCAAATAATTTGGTATATTTACCAATGAGGGAGTTAGAGGAAAAAATAGATTCAGATCATCGGTTCTCCTTTTCGATATCCCGACTGTAGCCACAGGGACGGTTATGATTGAGTGGCTGCATACAGTTGGCACAGGATCCTACTGGGACTGTATACTGTAGGTGGGAGGCCATAATCATAAACAGTGAAGTGGAGAAAAGAAAAAAAAAACCCCCACATAAATATTATTTTGAATATATGTGAATAGATATACTACACGGAATGCCTACACACGAAACTCAGTTATTGACTCATCTGTGTCTTTACTCGATTCTTCACCCACACTCTCACTCACTAATTTATTTTCTTACTCATTAATTTATTAACTTTCTCCAACACGCGCATATACCATCCTACTCTCATTCATTATACAAATTGTTTATTTTCCAGATTTTCTGTACTTTTTATTCAGGCAGCTCGGTGCCATAAATCCATCCCCCCCCCGGCACCGCGCCGACGATAACAAAGGATTATTCCAAATTAATAAGGAGAGACTACAATATCTGCGACTTTAGGTGACTGAGTAAATATTGACTTGCGGTAGCGTCGTCTTATTGTTTCGGGAGTGGCCTCGTGTTTCAGTCGTATTGATTCACTTAATGCAGCCGCTGGGTTAGGATTGCCCCTAGGTCTATGTGCAAACTACCCCAGAGAGAGTGCGAGAGAGAGAGAGAGAGAGAGAGACACAAAAGCAACCCACGGTATCCGTTTCAGGGGACGCTGTAAAGTAAGGATGCGGCTGAGGTGCTTTGACCAGAGAGGCTATTGTAACAGATTTGGTCTGTGCTTTGAAAAGGTTGAGCTGAAAACTGGCAGCAAAAAAAAAAAAAAAAAAACACCTTAAAAATACTGGCGTTAAAAAAAAATAATGTCACCCTAGGTCACATGTCACTGAAAGCACAAAAATGGTTTTTGTCAAAGTGAGGTTCATTTTTGGTTCCAAGGGAAAGAATGAACTCCGAATCACGGCTCTTGTAACAACGTTTGCAGAAGTGCAGGAAAAAGTAAAGAAAAGGCCTAAAAAAAAATGACAAGATTTTCGTTAATCCTTCCTTAATTTTGCATATATATTTTTTTAATATTCAGCCTTTGCAGTCAAGATCAATCAGAAAATTTAATAAGATGTTTTTTTTATGTTGATTTTTTTTTTTTTTTTTTTGGAGAGGTGGATGTGAGGAGTTTCAGGCATCACTCCCTCACACCCCCCCCCCTTTTTAGGCATTTTAAAAGGTGTAATTTCATCGCAAGAAACTATTTCAGGATAAAGCGATGCTACAGGAACTGAATATTGATCCCACCTTGGGGAACTTTGATCAAATGGTAGCATTAAGAATTTCTTGCCTAAAGTTTAGTACTTTCTGGGCTTACAGGAATCGTCACGATCAGGTCTTGAGCACACACGTTCCTACCATTAAATATTAGGTATTTTTTTGCAGACTGCACAAATTATTTCACTGGGCTATCTGTTCTACGCATACAAGGTTTGACCTCAGTGTATGTACTTCGCCGTAAGTCGGAACTCACATGCTGTACATCAGTACCTAGCTCGCTCTACTACGCTAACACAGTGGTAACATCGTAATCTAGGACATAAAAACATCAGAAGAGTCGGACTTACATTTGGGAGCCACAACAAAGGGCAAAAAGTTCCACGAAAAAAAACAACACAAACCAAAGAAAGCGAGTGAATGTAGCACAATCCAACGTATGATGTACAACCGGCGAATGTAAACAAAGCCGTCGTCCGCGTATATCGGAGCATAATGACATACTCCGTTAAAATTTGCCACAGGAACCCGTTGGCGAGTTTTACCGCTCTGCGTCAAAATGATGGAACAAGACTTTATTATAAATTTATGAATGTTATGATTACAATAATTACAGATAAGGTACAAGAAAGAAAAACTGCAATTTCTCAATTCTTGCGAGCCATAACGAAGGCCAAAAAGTTCCCAAAAACAAAAAAAACACACAAACGAAAGAAAGTGAATGTAACACGACCAGCGAATGTAAACAAAACCGTGTAAACAAAACTGTTTACAACATATAGCACTTTGTGCGAAGTACCCAACGGCTCCATTTGCCAACGAGTATTTGTCGAGTTTTAATGCCGTTATCTAATAATCTTCATATTATCGTGATCGGCAAAATGCCATAAATAATCAGGATGAATTTTTTTTTGCCATTATCGTCCATTCTTATAGTAATTATTTTCAGACTAAATTACTTATTTTCGTTGTGTTAGGTTCAAAGCCCTGGCCTCAGACTCCATTTATTTGCTTTGTTATTTGGACGATTATGATTATGACGATTATGTAATTTGAGTTTTGAGCATTCAAAGTCAGGATTTTTTTTTTGTTCGAGCTAGCGCTACCACTGTTCAAACTAAATAAGTAGAGACCTGAAAAGTACTTAAAGGGTTTAGAAGGAAAAACACATCAACTCTATTGCTCTACGTACTTACAACATACATCTCCCCTCGTGGAGGTGTTTCATGCCAGCTCAAACCCAAATCTTTCTCATCCATTCCCATGCATACGGCATATATTTTTTTCAAATCTAAGGACGTGATCGTTTCATACAGTTTCATCAGGCCTGCCTGCGCTGAATAACTTGGAGATAAAATTAGCTTGGGATCCAAGGTAACCAGTGGTCGTCATAACCAGTTGTTCACCAGTTAAATCTCTTGATAAATCTTTCTATTCCTGGAATAAGTGACATTTTAGAGCGTATAATCAGAGACTGTGCGTTGGTTCCGCATGAGCAATAGACACTTTGATTTGTGGGGTTTTTTTTTTTTTTTTTTTTTTCCCCATTCAATAAGTGAAGGGAATCGTTACCTTGTTAAGCGTTTAATTGCTTCATTAGTGTTTGCGAGCAGCAACAGTCTAATTCTGACTCCTCTCAGATGGAGCGAGATGGGAAAAGCGTCGTGACGTTTGTTTGAGAAGAGTCGGAAAGGAGGAGAAAAATAGAGGTGTTTGTGTGTGTGTGCGACAGATGTTGACTCTTGGCTGTGTTCAGTACAGAAGCAACATTCTCGTGTGTGAGTGTGTGAGTGGGTGGGCTAAAGTACTTGAACATTGTGAAAATGTCCTCTATTTGGATGTAACGCTGTTCACTATAAGAAAGATTCAGTCGTAATTTATGAGTAAAAAAAAAAAAATTTTTTTCGGTTTTTACTTTACTTTGCGCTCAGAAGCTCTTGCTATGATGAACGAAAAAAAATAATTTATTTACAAAAGAAAATGCTGCCGAGAGCCTTAGCTCTTATGCGAAAAGGGAAACAGTCAAAACTAAAAGTTTGTAGTTTTGGTGGAAAATAACAAAAACACTTTGTTTTGTTCTGTAAATTGTTGTTTTCTCCTCCAAAAACTTGGCGACACAATACAAAAAGGAAGCCAGATTTGGAGCAGAACTCCAATTCAACAATCATACTGTTAAGGATTTGCAGATACTGTACCATGGAAATGAATAGAAGGATGGAGGATTTAGTAAAGGTGGAGTCTAAAACCATGACCAAATTCAACTCTTTCTACACGTCGGAGTATTCACAAAATATCATTACAAGAACAATGCAACATCAACCAAAAAACCAGACGGTCACATACCACTGTTTCCACTGCGTATAGTCAATTATTCGTCAATGTCAGAAATAGATTAGTCGTTCGCTGACATCAGGCGTTTTGCCCGGTGTCGGCTCAGCAGTCGTGTCAAGGTGAAAGTTTCCATTTTAATAGTTTTCAAAGTTTTTAACAACAACTAAAATTAGAAGGGAAAACTTGTGAAACCAGCAATTTTCTAGTACCGTACAGACAGTTCGAGGACTTGTCCTATTAGGTTTTATTTTTACCTCTTTAGCTAGAGGAGCAACCCCAGCTCTACAGAACCTGTATTAACAAGATTCACAGCTCAAGATCTGAACATTAGGGGCATTTCTTTTGACGTCCGTCACTTTGACGATATACCTGTACGTCCAGTTGATTATGGGTCCGTCACTTTGACGATATACCTGTACTGGACGTACAGGTTGATTATGATTATTTAACATCATTTGTAAAACGCACTTTACTATTATTTTTCTCAGAATTGGTTGGTGGTGTTGCATCAATGGAGTCATCATCTGCCGCTCTGACCTTTACGGGGGAGCTGAAGACATTCTCTTGCTGATGTCAAGCCTCTGAACAGGTCAGTAGTCCATCGCGAGACCACATAAAGACACAAACAAACAAACACTGACATTCATCCCTATGATATAGTGTCCAAAAAAAAAACAACAACAACCCCCTAATTACTGCTGTGTTTTTCAACTGTGAGGGAAAAAATACAGTAATCAGAGAAATCATTTGCACACACACACGGTGTGAACACGGAAACTCCATACGGACCGGCCATCTGTTTAAGCTCCACAGCAAACCTGTGTGAAATCCCCAGTACTACAATGTATGTAAAAAAAATCCCCAAACATATTACATATATATTTCCACATAAAGAATGTGTGTAATGCGGGGGTGTGAAACATATAACCTAATTAGTTATCAAGTGGGCCGCACCAGTACAATCATAACATAATTAACTATTCATAACAATATGTCCATGTTTTTCCCCCTTTGTTTCCGTGCAAAGAAGTCCAAGTATAATAGATATTTATTATTTATTCATGAGACAAGAAATGTTTTTTTTATTTTCAAAATTCATCAAGCGGGCCGGACTGAACACCCTAGCGGGCTGGTTTTGGGCCGCGGGCCGTATGTTTGACATCCTTGGTGTAGTGGGTGAAGCGGTGACCTGGAAGTAAACTAGGAGAGGAGTAGGGAGTAGGGATGGATCAGGTGGGAGATCGTAGTGGAGAAGAGAACCACCTGGACAGGAGCGGACATGGGGAGGTTAGTAGGACGCGGTCCATTTAAGAGGGTCGCTGGAGCACATTATCCTACCACCCAGGTCCTGAAGACCTTCGCAGAGACTAGCTTTAGCATGCCCACTATACGGCGAAACATCCTCTTTGTCAGAGCAGGGTGGCAGTCCCAGCCTCGAGAGGCCGCCATTGGGATTCCTCTATAGGACCAGACTAGGAGCTGGAAGCATGTCTGAGCAGGCAGGTCAGGTTCCCAGATTGCAAAGTGTCAACTGCGCTAAGGTCCGACCTAGCGCTTCGATCAGCCTCCGCAAAGCATCTGCTCCTCATTGAACTTGAGTTCCCCGGGGAGGATTGTATGGAGGAGACCGATGAAGGTCACGGTGCGGAGGCCACACTGTGACCTATTGAAG